AGGTGATCAGAGAGAGAGAGAGAGAGCTTAGAGAAGGAAGAGGGAGATCTTGAGAGAGATATATTTGTGAGGGGGAGTTGTGTGGGATTCACAAAGGTTGCTCCAAGCAAGGTGTTCATCATGTTCTTCAAGTTGTTTCTCTTATTCTTTGGTGGCTCTAAGAGAGATCTTCATCAACATTAAATCTATATTCTCTACCTTCATCAGATGGGTGAAAAAGGATTTCAAGATTCTCTGCCTACTTCATAAGAGAGTAAAAGAATTCCTAGGTTCTCTGCCTACTCTAGGAGAGAGTAAAAGGATTCCTAGGCTATCTGCCTTTATCAGGTAGGTGAAAAAAAAAAATTTAGGTTCTCTACCTACTATAAGATGCAGTAAAAGGATTCAAGGTTCTCTGTCTCTCCGTGTATGTGGAATTATTTTGTAAGGTTTCTCGACCTTGCTATGGGAGCAAGAAAAGAGTCAGTTCTATTTAGTGCAATGCTTGGAGAGAGTCTCCAAGGAGTGGACGTAGGTCAAGTTGACCAAACTACTATAAATATTGGTGTGTTCTTTTTATTTACTTTTCAACATTTTAATTTTCATATTTTTTCTGTGATTTAATCATCGTTTAAAATATCTGATTTATGTTATTGTAAAATTAATTATACTTCTGCATCAAGAGATTTTAAATTTTTATTTACTAAAGAAAATTTTAAAATAACTAATTTACTCCAACTCTTGGTTAGCCTCGGGACTACTTTTGTAGGGTTTAACAATCCTCACAAACTTTTAAAATGCACTTACTATAAAGTTATTTAAATCTAGGAATTCTAACCTAGGATTTTGATTTTACCTCAATCCAACTATTAGATTTTAATGATTTTTTATTCTTTGAATTTGTAGTCTATTCATGATTAGATTTGCTGAAGAAATTACAACATAAAACACACTAAATTGATAATAAATTGACTTGGATGGAGTTTGTTCTAGGTTTGCCAGAGATCTTATCACCGACAGAGTTTGAGTAGTGGGTTCAAGCTAGAGAAATGAAGAGGAATACCTTAGGAGCTCAGACAAGAATATACCAAGGCTTGAAAGCTAGAGGGAGGTGAGAGATTGTTGTGTAGAATGAGGGTTATTTTGCCTCATTTGGCCAAATAAAATATCCCAGGCTATTATGGATGGCTAGGATTTATTTTGCTTTATTTTGTGATGGCTCCCATATGTCTAAAGGTTGTTAGGATGGAGGGAAAGAGGACATCCCAAGGACAATGACTTAGAAAACAAGTTTTGTCCTTATGTGAGCCTTTAAGACCACTAAGGCCATGCTTAGGCTTAAACCAAGGATTTAAAATAACTTAAGAACCTATTTGAGTGCATTAAGATTGTTGGAATGGCTTAGAATGAAGGAGATTAGCTTGAGTGAGAGGATTTGTCCACTTTTGACCCATTTGCTTGCTTGTTGACTATGTTGACTAGTCAACAATCACGTGGAATACTAAGGTGGCAAATAGGAGAGTGGTGAATGCTAGTTGGTTTGATTTAGCAATGGTTTGGAGTTCAAGGGTTGGAGTTTGAATTTGTAGATAAAAGTTTGACCACATGCCTTAGTTTGAATTGGTCAACTTCATTTTGATTTGATTGGCCAATGATTAGGACATGTATAGGCTATGAATTGGAGTTAATTTGAAGCTTGATATGGGTTCAATAGCTTGAGTTAATTATTATTATTATTTGACAATAGCTTGTGAGTTGATCAAGTCAAAGTCTATGTGATTTGACTTGGTCAAGTCCATCAGGCTTGGATTCATCCATGGTTGGAAAGAATTTAAGACATGAAATGAAATAGATTTGAAGCTTAAGAAGAGTTTGGTTGGCTAAAGATGATGATTTGATCAAAAGTAAAGAATTTTGACCATGGGTTAGGTTTGAAAAAGTCAAACCAAATAGGATTTGATTCTAAGTAAGCTTGGATGTGTTTGAATCATACATTAGAGTGAACATGAAAACTTGGAGGGGTTCATTTGGTTAAATAGGTTGGATTGACCCATTTGATCCCTTAAGAGGATCTTGGGTCAACCTATATTGACTTGCTCAACTAGGTTGACCAAAGGTCTAGGTTCGGGCTTGACAAATTTGGTTTGACATATAGAGTCTATTAGAGGTAGTCTTAAGGATTAGAATGGCCATTTTAGTTAAAATAATCATTTAAACACTTAAGAGGTTATTTGATCAATAAGGTCGACCCAGGGCCTGGGTTTAAGCTCAATAGGTTTGAAATGATATTTTGAATTAAATGGAAGTGGTCCCATGCAATAGGGAGCCCATTTGGATTCAAATGAACCTTAAAGCCCTTAAATGGAAATTTGGCCAAACTAGGTTGACTTGGTCAACCAAGCTTGACCAAGACCTAGGTTTGATTCCAATGCATTCCTAAAGATGTTAGGATGCATTAGAGGAGGTTACTGGGTTTGGTTTGATTGGGCCATGTTGAAGCTCAAAAGAAACATCAATTTTTCCCTTAAGGAGAATTTTGATCATTTTTACACCTAGTTAATTGAGGGTTAAACTAGGTCCACCAAAATAGAGTTTAATGTTTGACATGTGACAATCAAGGGTCTGGATAAGATCAAAGGTATTGTGGAAGGTCCTAAGGTCAAAATCCACAGGATAGAGGGTCCAGTGGCATAGATTATATATATTTGAAAGTTTTATAATCTTTGAAAATAGATTTAGTTTTTGAGGATATAGGTCTCAGATTGAGCTCAAATTTAGAGGGTTGACCTTAGGGATATGCCCAATCAATATGCAACTGATAAATCATAAATCAGATGCCATTTAACTAGGCTTTGAAAGGATTGAAAAATCACTCAAATTAAAAGGCTTTCAGGACAAAAGCTTTTACCTCTGAAATTTGGTATGGATTTATGGATTTGAACTGGATTTGGGATTTAAATGATTGACTTTGAATTATCCATATCAATAACAATCATATGGGCGATTGTAAATGATTGGATAGAATTGAAATTTGATAAAAGGATGGATTGACTAAATTCTGGGTTGATTAAGGTTTGAATGATTGAAGTCTGGATTGATTTTGAGTTGACAAGAGTTTGGACTTGAATTTTGAATTGATTGAAATTTGGATTGATCTGGAGTCTAGATTGATCACTGTGACCTCATATGAAAATGAGGTCAACTTCATAATAATTTTATAAATTTTATTTATTGTTTTATTTATGAAATTTTGACTAATCGTAATTTTTTTTTGAAAAATTAAATTATTATGTTGATGCCTAAAATAAAAAATAATATTATATTCATTAATTTTATATTTGTTGTTCCTTTATGACATTTACATATTTCAATAGGAAGTGATAAAATAAAATTTTAAGGGTTTTCTATTCATTTAAGTTTATCTAAACGTATATGCATTATTAACATCATTTTAATTTTTATTATTAGGGTAAAAATTGTTAAAAAATTTTGTTTTTAACATGCCTACATGCTCCAGGTTTGATCTAAAGTCTTAGCTAATTAACCTTTCGTATAATATTCTTTATGATTTTTTTTTTAAAATTGGAAATAATATTTTTTTGCTTTACAGCATACATTCATATACTATAATTAATAACTAAATTTTCTTGCTCATTTTTAAAATTTTTTAGTAAACGATTAACTCACTTTTTTTTAGGTATTCTTTTTTCATTATGCTCAAATCTTATTGGTAAGTTTGAAATAATAATTTAAATCATATTAATTTTAAATTATTTGGTATTTTATAGCATTGATTTTCATCATCTTATTGGTAAGTTTGACATTGTTTATATTTTATCCTAATTAATCACCTTTAAGTTTGCTTTTCCTAATCATACAAATGATATAATAATTGATATAATTATGCATATTTTTTTTATCTTTTTTATTTCATCTTTAAGAATTTTTTCTTTTTTTCATAAAATCATTAAGTCACTTTTTTTATCTTATTTATTTTCTTTACTAAAATATTAAATTATTATATAATTCACAACTATAATGATTTTTTTAATGTTTTATAGATTAATTTGTATGTTTGGAGCAATATAAAATATATGGGACTTTCATATGTTTTAAAACTAAATATTATTTTATTATTATTATATATTATTATTATGTTCTTTCTTGTTTAATAATTTTTTCTTGAGATTATGCTTTATAGTCTATTTTCTTTTTAAAATTTGTTTGTTTGCCAAATAAACATATAATATATCATTTTTGCATGCTCATTTTAAGTTTTTCCTATAATAATTATTGGTTTTTGTTTGTTTATTAATATTGTTTTCAAACAAACGTGTAAGATTAAGAAAAATATTTTTTTAAAAGGATACTCATCCATTATTTTCATAATTTTCAATAATAAATAGAAAAACCCTTGTTGACCTCAAAATCAGCTTGCGAACCACCCCGCCAATATCCATGAAATTTTAATCGAGCCAAATTTGATTCAATTAAAAGTCGTCTAGATTCCATAAATTTAATTTGACAACATCGAGTCTGAGTTGAGTCGGCTCGATTTGAGCCTAATTTGACTCCGATGTCATCCTTAATTATTAAAATTGAGTTGATCCGAGCCCAAATCAATATAATTATTAGTAAAAAAATTTAATTGGGCCTCAATGAGTCAATTTGACTTGATTTAAGGCCAAAATTATCGAAAAATAATTTGGTATATAATTAAATAAATTCCAACAAAATCGAGCCGATTCGGCTCAAGTCGAACGTGATTTAAAGCTCAAAGATATCGAGCTACACAAGTTAATGCATATCAACTCATTTTGTGTACCTTAGTTTAAATTAATTTTGTGAAATCAACTCACGTTTTATCTCTAATAAAACCAGCTGCCAAATTTACCCCTATTTGGTTTTAAACTCCAGCCCTTGGATTGAATCGGTTTGAGGGCATGATGGTAGTTTTATTTGATGAATAGCTCCTAGGGTTTTATTAGACGGAGGGGTAGTTTGGGTGGCAGCTTGCTGTTGTTTCGTGTGGCCTAGCCCGAGCGCGAGAGACGGAGACGGAGACGGAGAGGCATTCGAGGCGAGCGATCCGTGCGTCGGAGAGTAAGTTTTGGCTTGTGGTAATCTTCCTCTTCATCTTTTCTAATCTTCTTCTTCATCTACATTCTTTTTTGGTATGAAAAGTAATGTACATTCCAATTATTTAGAGAGGAAGTGATGGAAATTGTTTTCTTGCTATTTTACTGAAACAGATAATAGAAGAATGTGTTTCTCCTTCTTGGAGAATGAATGATAGCTTTCATTCATATTCTTGTGATAATCTGGAATGATAAAATGAGTTTGCATTTTTTATTTTGTGGATTAATGTCATGAATGTGAAAAATCGATACGTGCTATTTGATAAAAACTTGTTGCAATGTATATGGGCTGCTGTGGATTTTCTTGCTCTCCTAATAGTTGATATTAGCAATCATTTCTTGTGAGCAAGATCCGATCTCTGTTCTTCTTTTCTTAACCAGAAAACAACAGAGTGGTTCCTATTTTCTTGAAAATATGAATAATGAGGTTTAAAATGAATATGTTATTTTCTTCTTTTATTGAATATTGAGAAGTTACCGGATCAATTTCTTTTGAAGTGAAATAGCAAGGCTCTTTGTGTTCCTTCTTTTGGAATAGGTGGAATACATTTTTTTAATATTTTCTATTCCTCTCTAAGGCTCACCAAGGATTCTTGTGATCAAGCATTGTTTTCTTGAAAATGTTTAAGCACAAAATCTGATATCCTCTTTTCTTTGTTTCTTTAGATGTACGATTGGGGGCTTCCAAAATTTTGGGTGCTGAAAATTCTTCTTCTTTTGAAAGTTTCATATGCTAAAATAAATTTTGTTTCCTTAGGGGGAAGCAGAGATTTGATCCTTATGTTATATCTTCTCATGGAAAGACAAAGAGCATGTTCCCGAACTCATTTCCCTCTAAAATTCGATGATGGGTGTATTTATTCTTGTTGTATTCAAGAATCGTGCTTGAAATTTTCTTTGCATCAAGATGACATCTATGTAGTAAGAAAAACCGAGATTATCCTTCATTCTTTCAGTTGTAATTAACTATGGGTTATTCTTGATTGAAAAATTTGTCAAACTCGTTTTCAAGGGTGGTGGATTTCAAATTTTTTTAGGGTGGTTTAATGGGTTCTCCCGGTGGCGGACTTTTTGATTATAGGGTTTAATGGATTTTCTTCATCTTACATTAAGTGGCTGTATATCTCCTCCTTTTTTAGTATCTTGTTGATGTGGGAAGGTCTTTTGCTCTGATTTCTTCCTATTCTTTCATAAACTTTCCTTTGGATGAAATCAAAAGTGAGAATTTCTTTGAAGTTTTTTTTTTTCTTGATTCGAATGAGTTGAAACTTTTGGTTCACTTTAAATGGAGAAGGATTTCTTGTCCAGTTCTTTAGTTCTTTCATGCTCTCTTTGAGGTTTTTTTTTTTCCTTAAGAAATGATAAATTGATGCATTATTCTTTATCATGCCATAAGGTTGTGTTCTCTATCTTAAGTTCTAAGGAAAATGTTTCAACACGTGAAAAGATGGTTGCTCTCAACAGTTCATTGTTACTGTCATCACGATTTAAATTATTTTTATGGTAGTGGGTTTTCTATTTATTGATTGAGCTTGTGTCTTTGCACCTTAGTGAAATAATGTGGGGATGAGAGTTTCACCTCCTCATTCTTAAGATCTTTTGATTTTCTTTGAAAGTGTTGGTCTCTACCTCTTGCTTTAGATGTCTTTAATAGTATTTTGAGAATCTTGTTGATAGAGAAGATTATGAGGATTATTATTCAGAAAAGGATTATGCTGTGTTTTCGTGTTAAGTTGTTAAAAGACTTATGCTTCTTTTGTCCTCTTGATGGTTAAAAATCCATGCAATGAGTATCCTTCTTTTAAATTAAGATTGTTTTGCAATAAATTTCTTCAATCTCAAGTTGAGTGATGATGAGTTCTTGCTTTGTGTTAAGATTTGTTGAATCTGAAATCTATGTGCCAAAAATATTCTCTCATGGGAAAATTTATTGAATACTGTGATAATTTTTTGTTTTAAAGTCTCTTGTGATTATATGATTTGTTGCCGAATTTGTTTAGGGAAACATGTTTGTTTCTTAGAGATTACGTGCTTAGTGAGGGTTAAGCATTTGGAGATGGTTTGCATCCAAAATTATGCTTCAATACTATCCATTAATGTAGATCTATGAACTTGTTGGAGAATTTATCTTATCGGCATGAATGAATTTCATAGGGTTTATGCTTTGTCATTATAAGCCGAATTCAATGTGAATCAAAAAATGAATGATTACAAAAACTCTAAAACCTTTTTTTACATACTTTCATGATCACTTGGTGTATCTTACCACAATCAGAGAATATTAATGTGCTTTATGGTTCATTTGTGAGTTTAACTTATTCAATACAAGTTTGCATGCTTCATGTTTGGGTAGTTTTCTTTGAGTTTTGGAAAGAATCGTGAGCATTGTGTTGGAAAATATTCATTTGATTTATGTTTCATATAAAAGTTTCCGTGGATTTAATGCAATAATATTTTGAATATTATTGAGAAATTTTATAAGTGTTGTTGGAGGGAATTTTTGTGACTCTACCGTTATGAAGGCTTCTTTCTTGAGGGATTTTTGGAGAAAGTTTGGTCACTCTTTTCTATTCCAAAATTTTGGTGAGGAAAATTTATGAAACTTTTCAAAGTTTATGTGCCTTTCTTGATTTACTAATTTCATAATCATGGTGACTATACGAAGAATAGATAAGTGTTTTGTCTTGTTATGAGTTCTTGAGAAAAGTGTTTCACTATTTTGCACTGTTTTGTGTTGTGGTAAAGAAAGGTGATGGAATGTTCATTTACAGTTACGTGAAGGAATGAGTAATTGTTTGAAGTGTTTTGTAAATGTTGGAAGTAAAGGATTGCATGTGTATTGAGAAATAAATTATGTTAGACAATGAGTTTATTTGAGTGATTATTGGAAAGTTTAGTTTTGAAAAGACAATAGCTCTTTTTCTCTTCTTGTGCCTTGAGGTGAAATTTAGAAAAAATGCGTGAAATGCTTTCAAAATCGAAAATTTTAAAAAGCAAACAATTAATCTGTGTGCAAGCCTAAAAAAAAGGTAAGTTTTTATTTAATTGCATTTATGTAATTATTTGCATATTATATATTAACATACTTTGACCATTGCTCTTTTTATGTGTTTTGCAAGTGACTTTGAAAAGTATTCAAACAAGGAACTGTAAGAGGGACTTGGACTAACAGCTCCTTGGACAAATATATAAGAGTATCAATCGCCCCCATTTCTTCTAAATGGGGGTGCGACGACCGGAACCACTGTACATTAGCTCCTGTGAAATAAATTTTCTTAAAACTTAGAAGACCTTATGGCTCTTAGACCTTTTTGTTGTGCGATTCCCTCAGTCTTAGGTCTTTGTAGTAGCCTGTTAAATTTAATTTACATTTATTTTTCGTAAACTCAAAACCCATTAACTTATACTTATGCGTATGTCTAAAGGGGTTAGTGATAGTGATTGTAATTCTATAAAATAATATTGTCATTTAAGGATAATTAAGGACGAGTCTTAGAGAACTTAGACTAAATCTAGGATTCATACACCATTTAGGGAAGAAATATCATACATAAAAAATCTAGAGACATCTCGTCTTAGGATTAGTGTACACTATTAACTTAACCTTAATTAAACTTAAATAATAACTAATCAATTATTAAATTCTCTTTAAAGAATTGAAAACTCCAACAATCAATTATAATTCAAATAAAATGCATAAAAAAATATTTAACCTTCATTAATCAACTCTAACTAATATACATAATCATTAAAAGACAAAATTCAAATTACTTAAATCCAATTAAGATTTAATCAACATTTTAATCACACCTTCATTTAATATTAATTAATTAAATTTATTGAAAATAAAACTAAATACAAATATATAAAATAAATTCATGTAAAAACAAATTTAAAATTAGAAAATATTAATGTCAATTTAAAATAAAAGATTTTTCAATTAAAACTTAGTTTTAATTCATTAAATAAATTAAATTCACATATAATTGATTACACATTAAAAGAAAATAATTCAAAATACATTAAAAATTGAATAAGATCAAAAGAAAATGTAAATATTAATGATCCAAATTTAAATGAAAAATTTGAATAAAATTTAATTAATAAATCCATTAATAATTTAAAAAATAAATAAAATAAATGAAATGAAAAGATTAATTAAAAAATCTATATAATTCAATAAAAAGAAAATAAAAAAAAATAATAATTAATTTAAAATGTAATCAAACATTAAATCAATTATCTAAAATCAATTGATCAACCCTTCAATTTCTAACAAATTAAATTAACTTAACAAAATTGGTTACTACTCGTAACCCGGGCCTACAGGCTATTAGCTTAGCCTCAAAGAAGATGAAATAAATTTTACGGCCCTGGTGTAAATAATGTTGTAATCACTAAACACTAAAAATGAACTTTTAAAATTAACACTAGGATATTAATACTTGAACTTAAATCAAAACTTTCCTTTGGCCTTAAACAAAAAAAAAAAAAAAGATAAATAATTTTAATAAATTATCCTATATAGGATATTTCTAAATCACACAGCCCTTATTACACACACTTAGATTTGTTTGTTAGGACACGAACTCTAGTTTTAGGTTAGACTGATTTTTTTTTCTGTGATGTGTTTATATACTTGTGAAATGTGTATTGGTTGATTGCTGTGTTGGATCTCTGTGATGATTACTTTATTGCTTTCTATGTGAATTGATGTGATGGGCGTGTTGACCTCATTTTGGTGAGGATGATCTTCCCCTAGGATTCTCTTAGAACTTAGGGCTCCCTATCATAGTGTACAAGTCACCCTTAGGATTTCCCTTAAGCGGACATCAGATGACATAGTGTCGACTCAACCTCGATCACATTGATTTGATCTCAATTAAATAGTTTTACACTATATCAAATTTAATTAACCCAACCTAAAGTTAATGAGGGCCAAGTTAGTCTAAAGTATGCTAAATCAAGTTATGTCGAGTCAA